CTAGCCCAGGATAGGGAAAGGTGGAGAGTGTTTGTTTGTGGCCTATATCCTGATCCAGGGTGAGAAAGGCAATGATGATGATGATGATTGATTAAACCAGTTATCACATCCCCTTCCTCAAAAAGGGAGAGAAAAAAATAACAAAATCCCCACACAAACAGTGTACGCCATTAACAACGTACCCTGTAGTAGGTGAGCTGTATGGCAGTCTGGATGAAGGCGTCGGGGCTGACTTTGCAGGTCTTGACGAAGCCTTTGCCGAACGTGTTGAACATCATGATGTGTAGATCGACGTCGTTGAGCAGTGAGCGAGCCACCTGGAGACTCGACTGGATCACCTGCTGGCACTGCGCACGCGAGAAAAGAACAAAGGCAAAATTTAAATATTAAGTTGAGGTACTCATCGCAAACACAGTTTTTTAGTTAGTAGAGGTTTTTAGTTTAGTTTTAGTAGAGGTTTTACGGAACTCGCAACTACTGCTTAAGGTCATATGAGCACCAGAAGATTAGAGGTGTTACAAGAGAGTAATAAACACACCAAAGAAAAAGGAGGGGAGATAAAGACAATAGATGTCTGATAGGAAAGAAGGAGCAAACCACACCAAAGCACCCGCAAACCACCCGAAAACCACCCACAAACACAGTGGCGGGTTAAAACCCAGACAATGACAAGAAAGAAGAGACATGCATATATTGGAGTAAAGAGAAGCATAATGACAATAATTGCCATTTACAACAAGGAAAAAAAGGAATCGTAGACAGGACGAAATAGAAGAGGACAGAACAGTGGCCCCTCGAGATGTCTGCCCCGCCGCCCCTGTAGTAGACAAAGATATGAAACATGTAACTTAACAGTAATTACGGGTAATAAACTCTGGTGGCGGCATGTAAATTGGTAAAGGTATGCACTCCCATTTGGAACTGACATGATTTACAGCACACATCCAGGATCTACTCTCTGAGAGGTGAAAATGAGGGGTAGCCATTACATCGTACACCTATTGTGATGAAGATTTTGACCCACTTTATTGAACAAGAGTCTCAAGTAGATCATTTCTGTAAATCTACATGTTATCCTGGGCCCACTCACCTGTTTGTTGAGGTCCCACTCCAGCCTGATGGGATTGGGCGGCTGGCATTCGGGCGTGCCTCGCGTGTGGCCATCCTTGTCATATCTAGACACAGGAGGGAAACAAAAGCACACACGTCAGGAGGGACTGGAGTGACCCGACCAACGTACACAAGACCTTTCTTTCTCAAAAAGCATTAAAAACACTGGAGAGTGAAAGCTACCATGACTGTGACATAGAACGCAACAAATCTGAACTTATGAAAACTTTTCAAAATCTTTTTAACTTAATGACTTAATGGTAAAACAAAATTAGAAAGTCACGTAAACTTTTATTTAACAATTACACTTATGTTCATCGTCAGCACAGACAAGAATCTATTACAGTCAAAAGCTATTTGGGACAATTACTTTTCCCTTTCACCCAACAGACTACAATAAATAATTACAAGACGGCTTCTACTGTCATAAGCCATAAAATTAAGTTTCATGTTACATCATAGCAAGGGACAGAATATGAGACTAAATTAATTATTCATAATCATTGCATCCAACAACATACGCTGACAACTTTTATCAAACTTTATGAATTACAATAAAATCAATTAACTATAAATTAATATGTACACACTGGAAATTAAAGCAAAGCAAAAATGTAAGTTTAAACATTAGGTGCAATATACTATAAACTAACGATTAAATGCTAAGAGAAATACGAAAAAAAGAAGAGTTTTTACGCATTAGCGCTATTTAAAAAACACTAATTTTTACACGTTAAGAATAACGAAGAAAGGATAAATTTAATTAACAAAGTGGCAGTAACACAAGCGATGATGCCATGGCACCAGGTCCTCTACATTAGGTTAGTCATATGACCGCAACGGCCAGCTCATACAACACAACACAGTGACACACACTGAAGCAGCACAGAAAGGGCAAGCGCATAGAGGTGGTACTGTTAGATACCAATGTTTAAAAAAATCAAACGGCTTTTAAAAGAAAAACAACGATATAATCTAACTGGATTTTTCTTGAAAAGGGTATGTGTACTTGAACAAGCCAGAAAATGAAGAAATGATATACGATATAATACATACATTATCCAGTTATAACCCCAATACCTAATCTTATGACAGAGTAGAGTATACCAGAAATAAACTAGTAAATATAGCATTCAACCCATTACCATTTTGTATGAAAAAATACACAATAAAGTTTAGCATTATTAACAACAAAGCCAAGTTGTGTCTTTCTTTTTCTTCAGATGCAACCACAAAGTTTACTTATAAAACAGAATCAAATACCAAAGCAATTAACTACTTTTTTTACTTAACTTTTTAAAAGACATTGCTTCCAGATAGCTTTTAACATGGCTGAAATAGTATTGTCCTAATTTATAAACTCTCCCACAAAGTTAATCTCAGCCAAACATAACTATCACTGGACACAAAATCACAGGGGAGACAATGACATCAGAGGGATGTTTACGGTTGACTACATGGTCATCTGTGAATCAGATTTCACAGTCTGAATAAGGAGGAACAGGAAACCCCTGAACACTATGTTATATTCTGAACTTGTGAGCTGTTGTAACAGATACAACAAACATTACATTTTTTCTATTCTTTATGATCATTAATTTCTTTTCTTCTATCCAGAAGACAATTATGATGATGATGGTGATGATGATGATGATGATGATGATGATGATAATGATGATGATGATAATGATGATGATAATATAATAATAATAACAATGAAAATAATGTGGCAATAACAATGGTGATCGTACAATACAAGTCAAAAGGCTGATGTTCTGCCAAGCATATTTACTTCGCAAGCTATCACAGACTTTCTATAGAACTTTATTTTTTCAACACGGAAAAAAAAACCCAGTACAGTCGGTATATTAAAGCAGAGCTATGAAAAGGGAAATAATATGATGAAATTGAAATACATATTACATATCACACTTCTTCATAAAAAAGATAAACTCTGTCTGACCCTGCTTTACGGGGTGCCAAAGACATTATTTTGGAGTTGCTCATTTTCCTCAGAAAAGCAGCGATAGATGTGACAATATTATTATGAAGAGATGATGATGAGAGAGATGAAAAGAAGTGGCCGAGAACAAGGAAAGAAGAGCCAGTGACAAGATGAGTCTATCCACTAAGTGTGAGCTGAGTACACACAAAACTCCTTCCACCCAGTACATCTGTGAGCGTAGTCTTCAAACAAATCGGACAAGAAATACACACAAACAAACACTCACACACACACTCACACATGGATTCAACAGTACAAAACATGAACAGAGATCAAAACGTAATCAGAATTAGACAGTGCAGCAGCTTAAGTAAAAAAGTTATATATATATATATGAGTGCATATATGTGAATGACAACCATAGTGTGACATGACTGATGAAACTGACCAGGAATACTGCCAACTGGACTAGAGGACCCCAGAAAAACACCATGAGTGTTATGTAAACTTGCCATGTTATGTCACATTTTCTAAAATTATAATTTCCCTTTTTCAAAACCGAGTGAAAGAAATCACTGCCCAGAAACATTTTAATGAAATAGAAAAGCTTTAAAAATCAAACTTGGGATTCAGTTTACCCAAAACTTGTGAGCACCTCCTCTCTAGAGTAACCTTGATTCAACCACCTGCTTCAACGATAAAGGTCTCTTGTACGAAGACAGACTTTTTTGGCAAGTTCTCAACCTTTAAAGAGTTGCTGTATCTGTAAATGCTTAAATCATATTTCTTTTTTAAAAAGCACAAAAATTCAGTTCTCTTCGCATCCAAAACCAAAACTCTGGTCAGCTCTTGGCACTGGTCAGCGACATGGTCAATGGTCGTATGTAGAGCCATGAGATGTGAAATGTAAGATGTATGAAAGTTCTCAGGACGAATTAATAAAAACAAAAGAGATTAAATTAAAAAGTCAAAAAAAAAAGAATCAAAGTGTCAATTGAAAAAAGATTAATCGATGGGTTATGGTTATCTCTTCCAGAGAGGGTAAAACAATGGAGAAGACTTCTGGTCCACTTCTTTTCCCAAGAGATCATAGTAATAGTATAATACTTCGGTCTGGTATAAAAAAAAAAAACTTCAGCAGTAAAATTCCTCTCATCGACACAAGAGTGTAATCTGCTTCAGAAAATATTCTTTATCTCTCAAATCCTAGGATTTCTTCGCTTGAATATTTTTCATACCAGCCACAGAACATTTTGGGGTTCAAAGAGGGCAGGATTTTAATTTTCTCCGATGAAACATTGAGAGAGGCCAAAAGACAAAGAGACAGGAGTGAAGACAAAGATGATAGAGGCACGGGAGAAATTAAAAGGAGAAAAGAGAGAGAGAAAGAGCAAGGTGAGGGAGAGATATGACGAACAGAAGAGAGAGCAAATAGGTAGAGAGTGAAGATAAGAAAAAAGGACAGAAAAGAGGGAAAGAGGGGGAGAGGGAAAGAGGGGGAGAGGGAGAGAGTGGGAGAGGGAGAGAGTGGGAGAGAGTGGGAGAAACAGAGAGAAAAGAGAAAAGAAGAGAGAAGCCTCTACACAGTGTTGAGAAAGGCAGTCTCAGAAGCAATAGACAAGTCAACAGACAAGTCAACAGACAAGTCAACAGACAAGTCAACAGACAAGTCAACAGACAAGTCAACAGACAAGTCAACAGACAAGTCAACAGACAAGTCAACAGACAAGTCAACAGACAAGTCAACAGACAAGTCAACAGACAAGTCAACAGACAAGTCAACAGACAAGTCAACAGACAAGTCAACAGACAAGTCAACAGACAAGTCAACAGACAAGTCAACAGACAAGTCAACAGACAAGTCAACAGACAAGTCAACAGACAAGTCAACAGACAAGTCGAGAGTCCCCACCAGGTACAGCACAATGACAGATGCAAGCCACAGAACAACCCTGTAAGTCTTGGGAAAATCACTTCTCTGACGGAACTCCCCCCCCCCCCCCCCCCCCAAAAAAAAAAAAACACGGGACAGGCAAAAGCAGCATGGCAGAAGGGGATGGGATTTCAGTATTCCCATCACACCACCACAGAACACAAAGTAGCAAAAGCTGGTCATTTTAAAGGCAGAATTTTTTTTGATCTTTTAAAAGGCAGAATACAAAAAAATGGCAAAAGCTTTTTAAAGGCGGTCGGAGTAACAAAAGTATTGAAAGCTGGTCTTTTCAAAAGCGGGAATACTTTCATGGACAAAGGTCTCAGTAGATCATTAGACTGAGAAAGAAACTGAAAAAAACTCAGGACCCTATTTGAACTTCAAGCCTGAAGTTGAGGCTGACGTACAGCAAAGATGAAACCAACGCAGAGTGTACTTTGTACCTCTCAAAAAGAGAAAAAGTTGCAAGAAACAAAGTGGTCTTGATAAGTTTTTAAGAAAGAACTGGAATGTTTCAAACGAGCTACCTACAAACCCATAGCGCAAAGCAAAGACCAAAGGTAGCCATAAAAAGGGTGAATGAATAAAATAATTATTTCAAAATTAAATAAGGGGTTACAATCATATGCTTTGCATTGCCAGAAAATGTAAAGAATAATAAAAGTTTTGTAAAAAAATAAATGGCAGAAAGCCAGTTAACCGTAAAGAAAGCGCAAACAAAGGCAAAGAACCAGACACACTTCGATTCGCAGATGCACACAAACAACACGGCAAGTTTCACACACTCAGAACCTCACAACTACAGGAAGGACAGAAACTCTAATGGAGGGGGGGAGAGGGGGGCGCGCGGCTCGATTCAATTTAGGGGAAGGAAAAGTTGAGCGTTTTATTTGTATTGCTCAATTCAAACGGAAAAATAGTAACTCCTCTGGGGGGGACCAGGTATCTCTGGAATAGCTCTTTCTACAACAGATTTAGATTAGAGAGGGCACCAAAGAGAAGATGGTTTCGAACCATGAACTTGGACTAACTTTCTCCGTATGTGCGCATTTCGAATTTCGAGATTTAGCTCTGGATAAAAGACTGCACGCGCGTTTTGTCAGTCTTCCATGATCCCTACCCTCACAACTAAACTGATCTCTGCAGTCATTATCCACAAAAACCCTTCCATAAATCTTGAATTTATA